GTCAAAATTAAATCTATATAAATCTATTAATTTGACCTGGTTAAGTTAATTTAACCAAGTCAAATTAAACAATTTAACTAGAATAAGTTATTATATATATAAAAAATATAATACATAGCATTAAATTTATACAATATAAAAAAAAATACTATCTGCTATGCATATATAAATATAAAGCTAATACTAAATATATAAAATAATTTTATGCTTATTTATTTTGACAAACTATATTGTTGCTATTATGACATCTACTACTATATTTTAAATTACTTTTACTACAAGCACAATATTTAGAAAAGCAATTTCCTTTATAATGACAAACTGCTTTGCTTACAAATATACTACTTTGTTTAATAGTAGCTGTGTGTAAAAAAAGTTAAACAGATAGTATTTTAGCTAATTTAGGATAGTTAAATAACTCTAACAGATTTATATCACAAGCATGAAAACAAGTATCTAAAATACTATTAGTATAACCAAGCTTATAATATTTATCTTAAATGACTTTTAATACTTTACAGTATAAAAATTTTTATTAATATTAGATCAATTAATTTTTGAAACTGAAATCTTGACATAATCATTAATTTTAAAAGTAATTTTTCTTTTTAAGTTCTTAGATTTCATTATATCATGAATTATTTTCCTGTTATGTTCTAGATTTTTTTGTACTGTATTGTGAATTTTTTGAAAAGTAGAAATAGTTTCACAATTGTTTTCTTTATTATTACTAATATTCTAAATATGTATAGTAAAACAAATATAATTTTATATATAATCAAAAATAATTTGTAATTAAATATATAAATATAAATATTTATTTTAATTATATTTTCTATTTCATAATTGTTGTTATACTATTGCTATTAGTTAAATCAATAGTTGCTTTTTTTTTAATATTAAGGTGAGGCCTTGCTTATATTTTTATTGATAGTTTTTAAGATTAGTAACTTCATAGAATTACTATATATAAAAATAATTCTATATAAATGCTATAGCTAAGATCAACACTTGTAGTTAAAGCTAACTATTAAACTGTTAACTATATATAACTAACTTAAGTACAAATAAGAAGAAAACTACATTCAAGAGTAAAGCTTAAACATATTTATCTATGACCTAAACCTACTAGAGTGATCAAGACTTATCTAGATTTGGATAGTTAAAATATAATTAAATGAAATATTATATTTGATCCAGAGAATAGTCTATATGTTTATTTTTCTAATAGTATAACCAAAAGATAGATATGTATTGGAGTTTGAGTATACTTGGTCAGGTAGTCTATATATACATGAGTATGTATATGTTTAGTAGTTGTATTTAGTTTGTCTATTATAATTAGTTTAAGTTAAGTATTTAGAAAAAGAAGGTTTAAAACCTTGTTGTTTTTTTCAATTTAAAAAGTTTATACAATATGGTTTTCAGAATAGTTTGTAGCATAGCTTATTAATTTTAAATAGTATTTTAATAACTATTTGTGATGCTAATTTGTAGAAAATGTTAAGGTTTTGAATTGTTTAAATTAGAAATTTGGATATGAGTCCTTTAAGAATAATATTAAGATAGAATGAGTTTTCATTAAATAGTATCTAATAGAAGGTTTTATGGTTTTAAATTTTTTGAATAAGTTCATTTTGTTAAGGTTTGGAGAGATCCAGATTGCTTTGATTAATATGTTTAAAGATAGTATCCTGAATAATACTAGTGAATAGTGTTAGGTTAGAATATGTTTGCCAATATGTTGAGAAGTCAAGTAAGTTGCAATAAAAGCAGTTTATATTATAGAAAGTATATAGATATATTTTATGACATAGAAAGTGTGTATATAGTTTATTTAGTAGAATTTTGATTTTAAAAGATTTAAAATAATTAAGTTTGAAGTTGGTTATATTATATGTTAGTTTTTAGTTATGATTAAAATATAGTCAAGTGGATCTTTAATTTATTTCTGAAATAAGTTGGTTCCATCCTTGGTTCTATTTTTAGAATAACTATATTGCCAGAATATAGGCTTTACAAATGTTTTTAATAAATGTTCTTGTAAGGTATTTTATAAAATATTAGTCACAGAATAGTATGTAATATAGGTTGTAGATATTAGTATAGTTGAAATATAATTCTGAAGAAAAATTATGTTATTTAGCAAGAGAGTCAGCAAGGTTGTTTAGATTATTATCAATATGAGCTTGTACTTTATAAAAGTTGATTTGAAGGTTGTAAGATTTAATAATATTTAGTAAGATATGCCATATAGGCCATGTATTAAATTTAAAAAATTTATTAAAATTGGAAAGTGTAGTATAAATGTTAATATATTTAGTAATAATAGATTGAAAATCTGTAAAAATATTAACTATTGCATTTTTGGATATAGTAGAAATAATTAAGAGAATAGTCATCAGTTCTGCTTTGTAGAATAATAGCCAGAAGTTGATTTTAGCAGAAAATTTGTGAATAATTTGATTATTGTTATTGATCTGAACCCAGCCAATGCCCATTGTACATTGGTCAGTTCCAATATTAATTACTAAACTATTAGTATAAAAGTTAAGTTGTTGTTAAGAACTATTAAGAATTGAATATTGTTCAAGTATGTTTGCTGCTTTGCTAGTTTAAATATTTTAAAAACATAAGAGTTGGAAATTGGAATTGTTAGCATTGAAGAAATTAATAGTAGATGTTTGATAATTGTTGAATGAATAAGGTCAATATAGTTGGCATTGAAGTTTAGTGAATTAAAATTGACCCTTCCTAGGAATTGGAAAGAGATAATTGCTGATACATTAATTGTAAATAAATTCTGAATTCTGTTAGAGTTTAGATGACAGCCTAGGCAAAGTAAGCTTTGGGTTGATAAAAGGGAATAGTAGCCAGAGTAATTTATATCAATGTTTGTTTGCCAGTATATAATAGATATTTGATTAGTATTTTTGAAATGTTTACAGATTTTGCCAATAATAATTTTATTATCAGTATATGTAAATAACTAGGGTTTGGATTTTTTAGAGATATATTGTGAATTGTATACAAATAGATTGTATTCTGGTTGTTGATAGTGTAAAAGAAGAATTTTGAAACTATTATGGACTATTATGATATCTTCTAAGTAAGTGAACTATAATGGTTTTCAGCCTCTAGGTAAGTATAACAGTTGTGGTAAGAGATGTTTCTATTTTAGTAAAATAGTGTTGTTAGCTATATATAGCTGTTCAAAATATAAAATGTTGAGATTTCTGATTTGTTTTTTGAAGCTAATGTATTGAAGATATTGAAATAAAATTGATTCTAGTAATTGGAGATTATATGATATAGTGTTTGGTCATAAAATATTAGAATTAGCTATTATAGATATATTTAAGTATTTCAGTAATTGAATAATTTTAAAATTCAGTATATATTTATTTAGACTATCAATGATAGAATTAGAATGTTGAAATATATTAATAGTTGATCATAGGTTATTTTGAAGCTGTTGTAGTTTGATTCATATTGAAGTTCCTAGTAAGTTAGGATTGTTAAGTTGTAATAGGAAGTTAGTAATATGATGTTGAAGTTGAATGTCCCATATGTTATAAACATTGTACAAGTATGCATTAAGCATAGTACTATTAGAGATTGAGCATACTAGATGAGATTTGTGTTTGGTTATTGTTAAGTATTTAGCCAGAATGTTGTTGTATATGGAGTAAGGCATAATAATGTTGTGTAATCTATATTCAAGTATAGATATAATAACTGTATTGATTATATAGATAATTTGCTTATCTGTAATTTTCTTTGTACTAGTAATGTTTGTAAATTGAAGTATTTCTTCTTAAATAATTTTGATTTGTTTAGTTTGTTTGTTATTAAGTATAAATCAACAATCTAAAAACTTAAATGATTGGCTAACAGGTATAGATTCTAAAATAGAGTTGAAGAATTGAATATTTGATGTAGATAAATTAGAAATAAAAACTGATTTGATAGCATTGATTTGAATATTGGTTATTAGGTAGAAAGATAAGGCAGTTTGAGTAATTTGCTCTAATTCTTGTTTTGTTTTTGCTATTTATAATGTATCATTTATGTAAGTTAATACTAATATAAATGCATAAAGACTTTGAAATCTAAATGGTTGAAGGTAGGTCTTCCAAATTGTAGATAATAAGTAATCTTTATATTGAAATATAATTCTGTAGATGAGTGAAGCATAATAAATATATTGGAATAGTGAAGTTATTGTTTCTTTCTGGTTTATTCTATTTTTAACTATATATAGGTTAATTAGATCAAGGTTGGTGATTACTCTGTTTTGATAATCTGTTAATAAATTAGTAAGTATGTTAACTAACTTAGAAAGCATATTGATATAAATTAGTGCTTTTTTAAACAGATTCAGATTAACTGAATCATATGCTTTGCTCATATCTTGAGATATAAGTTAAAGTTGTTTGGAGTTGTAAGATGCATCTTCGATTATATTATTTAAGATATGTATAGGTATAGTCATGTTATTGCCTAGCAGAACAATGTAATTGTAGAGTGATAAGATCTTATGTTTAATGAGTATTTGGTTTAAGCAATTTGTGAGAAGTTTTGTATATAATTTTTTGGCATGTTTAAAAAAGCTAATAGGTCTAGTTTTGATTAAGTTGCAATTAAAGATAGGGTTTTTGAAAATTAACTCTCTTTTTATTGCTTAGAAATTTGGTTTAAGCTAATACATCTATTTAGAAGAGCTGTAATTGCTTGAAGAAAGAGTATGCTTGCATGTTTTAACATTTTATAATTAATATCAGAGGAATCACAGTTCTTGTTATTTGGAAGATAAGATAATATTTCAATCACTTCAGTAATAGTAAATTCTTTAATAATATTATTGTACTACTCAGAATTAATGTGCATTTTGTGATTATATAAAAATCAATAGTTTTATATGAAACCTAATATAAATATAATAATTAAGTAAATCTTAGAGCAATAAAATAAGTATATAGTAATTATAAATCTATCTATTATAATACATTAATATTGGATAATTTAAGTAATTCAGAATTCAAGTTAACAGATTTAGTATTATTATTTAAAATAATATTTTCTAGATTTGAGTTATCAGATTTAATATCATTATTTAAAACAATAATTTCTGAATTTGAATTAACAAATTCAGTATCATTATTTAATATATCATCAATTTCTATATTTAGTTTAATTTCTAAAACAATATTTTCTGAAATATCTTTTTTACAAATGTAATTTTGATGATAAAGTTCTTCAATGATAGAAAAATTGCATTATAGTTTTTGGCTAAAAACAATTTCATATGATGTATGTTTTATTGAATATGAATATTCAGTATTTATTGCATTTTAAAATTATACAATAAAATCACAATTTAGAATATAATATAATTAAAAATAAAACTAGTTTTATTCTTAATAATTTATATATACAAATATACAAATTAAGTCCAGTACTTTAATCAGTTTTCTTAGTATCTTCTAATCAATTAGAAAACTTTTTTAATAGTATAATATTAGTTTTTTTAATTAATTCTTATGATTGTAAATGTCTAGATCTTCTACATATAATTTTTAATTCAAGCCAGATTTTTAAAAAAGTTCTTTAATTATTCTAGTAACAAATTCTAATTTATTATCATTTTGTAGAATTGTTGAAACACCAAACCAACTAAAAACTTGAAAAAAAATAATACAACATCAAATGCATATTTAGATTCTAATAAAACTGCCTAGGAAAAAAGAGAAAAATAATCATATACATGTACAATATATTTCTAATACCCATCAGGGTAAGAACTTAAATTAACAAGATCAATCTATACGTATAAAATTTGTTATTAATAATTTTAATTATAAAATTTTTATATTGTTTTGTATATACTTTATCTGAACATGTGTTCTAAAGTTCTTGACAATAATTGGTTTTGTCTCAATTAATCATTTAAGAAGTCATCTTGTTTCATATAAGTTACATCATTTAGTAAATTCTTCAATTAAAGCTTGTAGAACATATGAATAATGTTAAAAAATCTATATATACAAAATTAACATTAATATTAAAATTTAAATAAATTATTATATTTAACAATAAATTTAAATTTATTTACTGCTTTGTAAGTTTTTGCATAACTACCATGTCCAATCATTTGATAATAAGCACAAATATAATCATATAAATCTTCTTTTAAGCAAATTTCTTTTTGATCCTTTTTTTTGATAAGTTTTTTTTCATCTCCAATTCTCATTAATAATACATTTTTTTTAATCCATTTGTATAAACTTGAATTTTTTAGTTCGTTATTATCAGGGTTTTCTAAAATCTTAATACATTTTTCTGCATGTTCACAACTAATTACTGTAACATTTTGATATTTAGAATCTTTTGACTGAATAAATTCAGTAAGTATATTATTAAATGTTTCTCTTGACATAAAATTATATTCGCGAAGTGTATTAGTATTTGAAGACTCCATTGTTTTGTAATTTGTAAGATAGAATAAATTTATTTAAATGTATTTGCAAATTTTATTTAATTTATTGCAAGCTATTAGTTTAAATTACATATATTACATTGCATAATATCGGTGATAGTAAATAATCATTACGATCAAATAATCATTAACTTGATCAGATCAAATTGACCCGATCGAATTAATTTGACCAAGTCGAATTAATTTAGTTTATACTGATTTGAGTTTGATTAAGTTGACCGGGTCAAGTTTAACTTGACCCAAAGACCAATTTGACCCGTAACATATATATGTAACTATTTTAAATTACTAATAATGATATAAGCAAGACCTCATTTTAATACCAAAAAAAAATAATCATATACTGTAAGTTCAATCAAGCTGATTAAATCGATAAAGTTTATCGGCTTGGTCATAACTGAAAAGTTATGCTCGGCCAATAAGACAGGTATTATTTTAGTCAGATATATATAGTATTTACAATTAAACTATATAAAGTACATCCTATTATAGTATCCTTTCCTCGGAATTAGTACCATGATTGATTGAATAGTACCCGGGGTACTTTAGTCAGTGGCGTACGGTATTAGTTTCTTAACATTCAAAATAGATTAAAGCTAGAATTCAGTCTGCATTATTCAAAGAAAATCTTGTGTACAAAAAATAATTACGTATAATTTATCGAGAACATGACAGAAAAAAACAAAATGGTTAAAAGAAGTAAACTGGAGCTACTATATCGCCGTGAAATAATGTCTCAGGGCATTATTTCGAGACTCATGATTTCCATAGTTAAAAATTAATTTTGACGAATGTGAACAATAGTTTTATTTATAAAATCGTTTTCTGAATAACCGTTCGGACTATCATCCAAAATGATTATCCGAACCCAACCTGGTACACATTTCCTGGGTGCACAAAAACTTGGGCATGGGCCTGGATACGAGCATAGGCATAGGTACCCAAGCATTTCTGTAGACGTAAGCAAGGTATTTGTTTAGCGTTAGGCACAGGCACTTCTAGCTTGGTCCTTTGCGCCTAGTGCATAGAATTTGTCCAATCGTTATGCCTATTATCGTAATAATGTTTGCATTTTGTGCCTATATGAACCTGCCCCAGGCAATTGATTAACATTAGTCAATCACACGAACTTCTTATGAACTAGATCTTGATCGATATGGTGTAACACTGGATTTCGAGATAGACACGGGTATACGCAATTTTCTGATTTTTAACATTCATGATGAATTTTCTTCCAATTTTACCATCGCTATTTCAATCTGCGGAAAATGGAACTTGCCCGGATAAACCTAATACTATTCCCCTTCATTGGTCGAACGTTGGAATAGCCTCTTTGTTTATTTTCGTCAGTGGTATGAGTACTTGCATTTTTGCATTCTGAATTATTATACATGGACCTCAAATCCTAAAATTTCATGGTTTTTTACAGGTTTAATTTCTTTATGGCTTGGATTACGTCTAGAAAAATCTTTATTAACTAGTTCGATTCGATGTGTTGTACAACTAACGATTATGGTAAATCGATCGTTTAGGTCGATAAAATTTTGTGCTAATTTTTATTACGAACGTTAGAATGCTAACAATTCCTCGTTAACTAGGGATTAGTCCTCGAAGACGTTTTTAGAATGCGGCATCCGATTATTGTATTAGGAATGATATGTAGGTTTTTTTTTTTCTACATCATTTTCACTCGATCCTGATGTTTGTAATAATTTTGGTCTTGTGACTTTCAAGTTGTGCTTGTTTTCTTGGGAGCCAATGAAATTGTATTTAACAAAAGCAAAAGGCGGCATACGGGGATGGTAAATATATTGATAAAATTTTTAGTATTGTTTATTATTGTTATTTCATTGTTATTGGATATTTTAGTATATGTCCGTACTGGCATCGCTAGGAATAAGCACAATTTTGGTTGGAATAATCGGTAGATATGACCGGATTTCTTATAATTATTAGAACTTTCATTTGTTAATATAATTACCAAAATTTTAAATAATTTTCTTGTCGATAATTGCTTAAAGGATCTCGCTACGCTATGCTTCAAATACCATTTTGGGATCCTCAGGTATTCATCCCAACAATGGGCATGCTGCTCGGAAATTGTATGTCAGCAATAGCTGTCGGAGTATCCTACGCGTTGGAACAATTCAGTGAACAGAAAGAAAAGATAGAAATGTTCTTAGCTTTTGGTGCAACCAGATGGGAAGCTGGACGTTCCGTTGCGACGGAAGCAATCAGATTGGCAATGTTACCTACTATTAATTCAATGAGGTTTGTAGAATTTGATTATTTGACATACTCAGTGTGTTTAAATTGTGATAAATATAAACAAAACTATTGCACTTTTTTTCAGTATAATCGGATTGATCTCTATTCCAGGTATTAAATAAAAAACTAAAAGCCAATTTCCAGTTGTATAATAACGATTACTGTGTTATGTAGGAATGCTGACGGGTCAGTTAATTGGCGGTGCACCTATTATGGACGCAATAAAATATCAACAAATCATCATGTTTATGATTTCTGCTTCATCAGCTTTAGGAGTTCTTATGTCGATCCTTGTAAGCAATATGATTATTTGTTATTATTGTTTAATTATCTGCATCTGTTCGTACTTACTCGTTGCATATGTATATCTTAAAGGCTTGTATCTTCACATGTATTGATAGCTCCCATCGCTTACGCATTGATCGGATATCAAATTCCAAACCTTGGATCTATGTTAAACGTGATGAGTTGATTGCTAGCATTAAATTTGGCATAACTAGACTTAAAAATTATGTATGTTGCTGTTTTTTGAAATCTGATAAATTTTCTGATCAAGATGATCAAATTTTGTTATTAGGTGGAGATACTTCATAAGATATTTTTCGGGTTTAAATTATTTTGTAGCAGTAAAATATGGTAGCTGTTGAGTACGGTAAAACCTGGTATGGTAAAAACTGTAATGTCAAAAAAGCTTCTAAAGTAGCGACAAAAAAATTATGTTAAATTCTGCGCCTTGTAAATAATCAGGATTAAAATTCATATCCACCATATCGATGAAATCATTTTTAAGGTATACAAGATCTGCAGTAAAGCATCCATAATCACACCATCAGGACCTTTAGAAACTTTATAAAACAAAATGTGTTACGTATATGAATAATTTTATATATAGTTAATCAAGAAATAAATATGCATATAAAAAAATTCTCATATAAGTTATGATGTATGCGACCATATACTTTATTGTAATAACATATTATCAAAGAGGTGCACAATTATAATTGCTCTCTAATAATGAATTTAAATCATAGTGATAGAAACCAAGAAACTAAAAATAGTTATACATAACGTATCAGTTGATTTTCCTCCCAAATCCGCTGACGTTATTGTGTAATGCCCATCTCGGATGACTTTTTACTTATCACTATAAAATTATGTAATTTTTGCATATACTTGGTTATTTGATTTCCAACAAATTTGAAAAATCGTTGACAATAAACATGGACCCAGTAACTGGACTTCCAAGGTCTCGTCGTTCGACTTCAGCAGGAGACGATGTGCATCGTGAAGGCCTTACCACTGAAACTCACGACTGGACATTGGTTAAAGCCATTGACCTCGTAAGTGATCAAAAGGTTATCATAATGTAAGCGTCATGGTTTCATTAGCGTTCGTGGATATTGTACCGTCTATTTCAAATATTAACAAGGGTAATATATGCGGTATTTCTTTAAGTGACGGAGAGGTACCAATTGAAGAAGCTTGTGAAGTGAGCATATCAAATTATTTTACAGCTTAATTTGTAAATTTTTATTTCTATCTCTCAAGATTTGTCTTTTATCACAGATTCTTACGCGAAACAATATATCTTCTGCACCAGTCTACGATGCTTCAACGAATAGCTATTCGGGCATGTTCGATTGGGCTGATGTTATGACATATCTATTAATTGTTCTTAAGAAAAAAGATGCTATAAAACAACAAGAGAAAAGTGATGCTGAATTATCAGCTGAATTTAATGATTTAGTGAAATTGGCGAGTCACTGTCAACCTATTCCTGTCAAACTAGCTTCAGGCAAATATTAAAAGATAATTAGATATTCGTATTATCAATTTGTTGCGTTGTGATGTTAATATAATTAATTCCATTTTTAGACCTTTCCAAGAAAAATCCTTTTTATAGTGTACTTCCAGAGACATCGTTGCTACAAGTTGTTGAATTATTTGGAAGTGGAACTCATAGAGGTTAGCGCATAAAACATTTTAATCCGCTTAAATACTTTTTACATCTCATTAATCATAAAAAAAAAAAAAAAACGCCAATTATATAGTTTCTGTTGTAGACGCGGATGGAATTATCAAAGGAATTTTAACTCAATCAAGAGTTGTTAATTACTTTTATGAAAATGTATTATACGTTCTTACTTTCGTCTGTTTATTTTGAAGAACTATTTACTAATCTTTATGGTTGCTAGGTGATCAAATTTCCACCAATTGAGCAACTTTTCCCAAAACCGGTATTGTATGTAATTTTATGTTATATTTGTGTGTTTCGTGAGTTACTGATTTAACACGCTTTAGTTCGTTATTTAGCTCAATGAGCTTGATATAGGCACGGGTTTCGTAGTTTCTGCAATAAATGATTCATTTGTGCTTGACGCGTTGACAATGATGAGTATGTCATGTTTATTACATAATCTCCTTTATGTGCTATTATACTTATTTGCATAAAATTTTTTGCAGATAAAAATGGTCTCAGTTCTATTGCCATTGTGGATTCTGAAGGCTCGTTAATTGGCAACATAAGCATGACAGATATCAAGGTTTGTAATATTGGAAATTTATTTTATGCCATCTAATTACCTCTGTTCACTTTTATTTCCCTATATTAGTATGTTTTACGAAGCTATAGTCACTTTTTAATGTGGAAGACGTGTCAACAGTTTGTTAATCATGTGAGAAGCAAGCAGGGACTTGATGATGGACAGGTGATTATTTATAATATTATATTATTCACGATTATTATTTAAAGCAACCTTTAACCTAAATGTATAGGACAGATATCCTGTATTTGATGTACGTCCAACATCAACTTTAGGCTATACCATCGCCAAATTATCTGCAACAAGAGCGCATCGTCTCTGGGTGGTAGACGAACGGATGCGTGCTGTTGGTGTGGTAAATTACCTTGTTTTTTTCATAGCTATATTAGTATGTTTGTACCTTTGGTCATTTTTCTGGCGTTATTCTAATTATCTCCATTATTTTTACTCGTAGGTGAGCTTGACGGATATACTTCTTGTAATTGCACGTTCAGGTACATTATTTCTTCGTCATAATCATCGCTGTTAACAATTTTTAAACTGACTCTTTTAAACTATATTTTGTATTATAGCTGGTGCAAACCCGAAGCCTAAAAGAATTAGTTCTTTTTCATCAGCATCGACAGGCAAAAGTGAATAAAAGCAGCAGCAGTTGGAATGCAGAAAGGCTTAATAGTTATTGAATGATTGTTTAAAATTTTTTTCCTTTGTTTTTTTTTTGATTTATGTTCTTTTGTTTGAAATATTTATTTGAATAACCCATATAGTTGCGCGTGTACGCAAATTTAACAACGCCACTATACATGCAATTAGTCAGTTTGCTTCGTCTTTTGACACTCTAAGTGTAATTAATTGTCTTTATTAGTTGAATTTTCATTCTTCACTAAACCGCCTTTTTATTTTCTATTTTTAATTGACTGATCGATGTTTGTGTTTAATCACCTAATCATTTCATATTAATAAAATAAAGTCATTTATTTAAACTTGATTACTACTTAGTTTACTATTGCTCCCTTATATAACTTATAAAACTAAATTATTAAATAAAATATTACGTAAGTCACAAAATTTTATGAAAATATAATATTGGGATATAATTACACGAATTTCGATTTTAAACATATTAACATAACGATAACGAACGATAAACGGTCCAAATAAATTAGATTCAGATCTGTTTATGCAGGGATAGGAATAGAAATAATCTAATCGAAAATATTCGCCTGATTGTCTAATGATTTATTTGTCTAAAAATTTGATCAGACAATACGCCTATTCAGCTATCGGTCAATTGGTTTAATCAATTATAGTAACATAAATATAAGGGAATTAATATTTATACTCCTATTTGATATTTATACCTTCTATTACAGTATTAAATAAAAATAATTATTTTTATTAACGTCAGTCTTTTTAATAGTCTTAGACAAAGTTGTTCTTTAATTCTAATGATAAAATTATTATTTAAGTTTAATTAATATTAATTAATTTTAAATAAAAGTTACTAATCTAATTTTAATAATTTTGTTATTTTTTTTTTTTTAATATTAATAGTGAGTTCATGCCTCTATTTTTATTGAATATTTAATTGAAATTTTTACATAGGGGATTGGGCCCTATAGCTTAACAGTAAAGCTGCTAATCTTTTACAGACAAGGTTGACAGTTCGAGTTGGAGGCAAAAATCTTAGGATTATAATTCTGTAACCTATAAAGAGTCAAATTGAATGCAGAGTCTTGTAGAAAGTTCTAAGGTAAAGTATAAGAATAGGTTAGGAATTTCTGAAAGGAGACTAATTCTGCAGAGTAAAGGCATTATGCATGATTATGTATAAGAGTGATGTTATAAAAAGTTTAGCTAACAATAATATTACATATATAAGTTCTAAAAAACAGAATAGCATCAACATCTCTGTATTTAACTTATAGAGTACTTGATTAGAAAGGTAATATCATATAACCAAACTGAAGTAATAAGTGATGTGATGTATACAAAGAAGATCTGTAGTAAAGGATTAGTTTAATCAAAATTAGAACATCTTAGGCAGATATCTTTAAAAGTATTCTCCAAATAGTTATATATCACAACTTAGATAATGATTATCATATTTGTATGTAATAAGTTAAGGTTTTAGACCTTCTTGCAATACTAAACTGATAATATATTAGTATGTTGTTAGCAGTATATCTATAAAAAAGTTTGCAGGAGATGAGGTCCCGTAGCCTAGTGGTCTAGACACCCCTTCCTCCACAGACAAGATCGATGGTTCAATCTCAGCTAGAGGCAACTCTGTAATCTACGGAAGCATATGAATGTACATGAAGCCCTATGGCTAAGTCTATGTGATTAGAAGATCGGTGTATAAGGAAGTTTTCAGAAAAAAGATTTCTAATATGGAGAGTTGGTGCTCAATGTGAGAGAAGCAGTGAACATACCAGAAATGGAGAGAAGGCGCACTAGTGGGTGATATGGTAAACATAAAAGGAAACTATAGAAAAGGAATGGACTTACTGAAATTCGAACACTTCTGGCACCAAACCAGTTCTAGTAGATACAGGATCTATTAAAATTGGATAAATCTAAGGGGTAATCTTGGTACCATACTTAGTAAGTCTGCGTCAAGAGTAAATTCGAGGGACTATGGATACCTGATAACATCCAATGAGGTGGTACCTTGATATAAATAGTAATTAGATAGCCTAACCTGGCATGTCCATGTGGTAATAAAAGCATTGCATATATGCAATAGGATTGAAATCAGAAAGTTTAAATAGGGGATTCACAAGCGGATCTCAGATATGACAGCTAGTGGGTAACCCTTGGGCAGAACCTTTAATTAAATAATGACTAAAGTTATACGTGTGATTAGTTGTACTTTCATTGATAGACTTTGTATATACTTAAATAATGATATATTACTTAATAAAGACAGACAGGCAAGATTGCCACTTTAAAATAAAAATAAAAAAATATATATTCTTTTAAACAAAATAGCTCTAGTTTTATAAAACAAAAAGATTAATTAGTTTAATAAAATTTTAAATAAATAACTTATAATTTTAAATGTTCAATTATAAAATTTTAAATTAAATCAAATATTTATTAAATCAAATTATAAAACTTATTATTGATTATAAAGAATTAAATTTTATAAATTATAAAAAAAACTAATCTGTATTATAAAAAATATAGAAAAAAGAAATATTTTTATAGAACTTTAATATAATTTTTATATTAAGTATAAGTCATTTTTATTCAAACATATTCTTTTTTTTATTTTATTTTTTTTTTTGATATTAAGGTGAGGCCTTGCTTATATCTTTATTAATAATTTAAAATAGTTATATGTATATATGCTA